TTTGCTTTGGGTTGCGAACAAATCGGGTTGCGACCAGAGTCACGGAACGGATTAAATTCGTAACCCGAGGTACAACTGTATAATGTAAGCAAGAATAAAATGCTGAAGACTGGTGAAAAATAGGCACATTATTTGTTTGTTTATAAATCACACAGTATTTGTAAGGCCACCTGATTCCAAACGATTATGGGCAGCAAATGATAAAAACAGAAGATGGGAAACAAAGAACCATGGTTCACATGGAAGGAACAGCCCACAACCAACCTTGCATGCACATTCACCCCAAGGAGTCTTCTACTCCCCTGAGCCCAAGGCCTCCAGGCCTCATTTGAACTACCAAAAGGTTATGAGCTGGTAAGGATTGATCAGGAAAGAGATCCTGCAGTCACGCTGGATAGCTCAATGAGAATGTTGAACCGATGTGCAATGGCTGTGAACAATGCACATCCCGTGCTTGAACTAATCAGGAAAGGAACTGAAAAAGGGCAGGGGATGTAGGAACGATAAAACTGCACTTGGAATACTGGGGACAGTTTTGCCATCACGTCTGAAAAAAGGACATGATAAACTGGAAAAACTGCAAAGAAAGGCAGCCACAATGATTAACAAACTAGAGAAATTCTATTAAAAGGAAAAGCTACAGCATTTGGGAATATTTACCTTGGAGTGAAGAGGTTAAGGAGATACAATAGAGATTCAAAATAAGAGATACAGCTGACAATACACAGTTTTACTTCCTCTTTCACAATATTAGAGCTCGGAACTAAATAAAGGAGAACTGGGGATGATAAAGAGATTTGGGTTAGAGTAATAGTTATATTAAATAATATAATTATATAACACACATATTATACACACACACACATTATCTTTCATTATATACTATAATTACATTGTGGAATTTGCTGCCATCAGATATAATGATGGCCACCAATTTAGATGGTTTTAATAGGGGCTGAAGAAATGCATGGAGCATTAATTACTTGGATTTATGGCTGTTTATTATCTCTGAAATCCCACCAAACGTACCTTAATTGCCAGCTGTAAGAGCAGCAGTGAATGTTCTGGAAGTTTGAGAGTTTCCTAAATGCATCTGGCTAGGAGACTAAATGGGTGACTGGCCTGATGCTGGAAGCTTTTCTTACAAATATATGAAAAATATCATATTAATCTAACAAATTTATAAGACTACCATAACAGTATATGTGGCGCTCAATTAATACTATATCTGCTACATTCAAAATAACCTACCATAAACAACAGACCTACAGTAATTTATTGCAAAAATAATGTACAATTGTTTAGTTTCATGCAAGTGAAAGCTTACAAGATTTCATAATCCCAACAAGTTAAACACCTGTTTATTTAGTATAAAGAGGCCTGCAAAAATTTTAAGCATTTTAATTATGCACACATTACTGCCTACTGAAATCAGCTTTTATTATTTCATAGACTACTTCATGAATTCACAATAAATGTCACTAGATTAATCCATCTGTATTTGCCCATAAAATGTAATGCTAACTTAAATCTAAATCCATATGGTACAATACACATATTTATCCACTTGATGGCAGTCATTCAGTCACTAAATATAGAATTATGTACTTGGGATTATGATAGGACTCTTATTTGTACACTGTATTTACACCTTCATAGGTTTAGGTCCAGAATGGGATCAGATCTGAGAGAAAACAAGACTCTGAAGAACAGAAGTTATATTTTTCTCTTCTACAGTACAGTATAAGATCTTCTATTGCCACAATAAGATACATATATCCCAGTCCTCATTTTGTTGACCATAAAGAAAATAAAACTGCCTGCTATTATCACATCTGGTTTGGCTTTCATGTACCAGTAAATAGGTAGATATTTATCTGTGAGGCTTTGTAAGACAACATACTTATTATCTTGAAAATATAATTAGTTTACATTTATTTTTAATGCTGACCTTGGGATGAAGTCATTACTGCATTCATCTGCTCACCATACAGCTTGCCATACAATCCTATAAGTTACAGACATTGTGAAATGTATTTGGGGGAATGCACAAAAACACAGGGAGAGAGCTGTGAGTGAACGTCTATAACATTTAACCTTGTTCATACTTTGATTATTCTCCAAATTTCTGTAGTTTTTAGAATGCTTTCTCATAGTTAGCCTTTTTTACAGCATCCATCAAATGTCAGAAATAAGGCCTCATTTTCATTTCTTTAGGTTCAGTATTTAATTTAAAATGCTCAATGCTTCAAGGATGATATGAAGAATAAAATGCTTATTTCAAACTATTTTATTTGGTTCTCATTTATAGCTATCCATGCACTAAAGCTAAACCACAGTTAAAAGATGAGCTGATGAGAGCCTTGGAATTAAGCAACTCTTTGAGCGCAACTTCTATTGCAAGGAAAAGTCCAAAAGCAAATGATCCTGTTTTGACCATCCACATTACTATTACAGCTCTATCTGAATAAACTGAGGATCTGAACCATGTTTTCACTGAAATAAGGCATCTTCAAATCATGGTTCACAAAGCTGTCGTGCTTCAGATACTTATCCAAAATTTAGGAACTGGATTTTAGGCTAAACTCTAGTTAACAAAAAAAAGCAGAAGTGTCTGATTGCCACATGGCTAAACCAAAGAAGGAAAGGGAGGGGAGTCCTTAGAGGGAGACACAGACAGGCATGACCCTGTCATGTGAAAACAGGATTTAGGGAAGGGTGGAGAGTTTTTTCTGGGCTAAGTATTGCATTCTGACTTATGAAGTGAGTGGGTGGCTGGTAGGTGGGCCGCAGGCGAAGCAGGCAGCATTGGAGCAAAACATTACAAAATAAAAATACATCAAATGTATGTATGAAATAACATGTATATTTTCTGTTTTCAGTTCAGTGGCCAGTATGGAAGAAACAGTTTCAAACTGCTTTGCCACTGAAGCCATACCCCCAAATTTCAGTAGCAAAGGAGATTGTAAGAAGATGCACCAAAGCTTCTGCAACATATCAACGCACCCCCATAATATAATTTTTCAACTTCACCACCCTTTTTCTTCGAATGAGCCAAATCCCAGCAGCCTGGATCAGACATTCACGAAGCTATGCGGCTTGACTGGTTTTAGGTTAGTACTGTATGTATTGTCGAAGGCTTTCACGGCCAGAAATACTGTATGATGTATAAAGCAGACCATGATGGCTTGTTCAATAAACAACAGTTAGGGCAAACCATAGCCAAGTACAACATGGCACCTCTCTGGTTGACGGCTCCTGAGGTTTCCTTCAAAAACCTGAAATCTGCCCCTTGTTGATTTATTATAGTATCTAAAATTACAGGCCCACCCAATAAAGCTGAATGGTAGAAAATTGGTGTATATTTAAACTCTGAAATTCACAGGAGGGTCAGGAGTTTTAGGAGGCTTTAAAGAGAAGGGAGGGAGGGGAGGAATTACTCCTCATTTATTTATGGGATTAATTTAGTGAGATTTTTGCAAATTATTACCACTTTGGGATCAAGGCACGCCTGTTTAAACGTAAATGGGGGTGGGGGGGCGGATTCACACCTCAAGGGCCTATCCCACAGCCAGCAAAGCAGAGCCTCACGGAAGGGGGGGATTTTGGGGTTTTAGGGATAAAAAAGCTGCTCCTGAGCCCCCGTAGCCCCTAAAAGCGCTAAAGGGGGCCCGGCCATCCTAGCCCCTCCCAGGCCGCTCTTTGCCCCCCGGAGGAGCCGGACCTCTCGACGCCGATCCCTGGAGGGCTCTCCCGGGCTGGCCCCACGGGCAGTTCTCACGCCTCTCCCCGCGACTCGC